AGGAGAGCAGCTAGGACTTAAACTAGCACTATGGTGTCGGATATCATACCACTGTGCCACAACTGCCAACCTGGTAACTCAGTGTATAAAATTTAAAATATCTTTATTTTGTGTAGGATATACATTTTTAGTGTAGTTGTATGTATTAATTTTTACAGTATCATGAAGTAACAACTTTATATATTACCTACAATAGGTCCATTTTCTTTTCTAGATGCTCTAGGTTTTGAAAGAGTTTTGTTCATAATCTGCAATATCTCTTTCTTTGCCACTGGAGAAGGTAAACATAATAAAAATTATAACCACATAAAATAAATTGATCAGAAAAGCTGTAATCAGTTTTTATAGAGTAAAACTCAAACTCTATAGCTTAATAGCCAAGGTTCTCTACATTAAATTTCCCTTAAAACTGATTCCCATCGCCTTCTCTATAAATACTATCACTGAATTGCTAAATTTGTAAAAAGTAAAATTTTACTCATTTCTTCAGTGGTAATCATGTCATTATTTAATACTTATTAATGTAAGTAAAATTACATGACATCTGTTTAAGTAATACTTTATACTAAGTCCATAGAGAATTATAGTTCACTGTAACAAAATAGACAATGCAAAGAGCATCAGTTCTACTAGCTTACCTGAGGCTTGCTGAATGGCCTCCATTACAATTTTTATGGGTATGCCAGGCAATTTAATATCAGCCTAACATGGAAGAACCAAAAATAAAACTCTGTAAATGCTAAATTGTGATACTACTTAAATATTACAGGAAAACAAAAAAACAAAATGAGTTTTAAAAATACCTGTAAGGCTGTTATTCCCTTACTGGTGCCAGCTATTTTGAAATCCATGTCACCATTATAATCTTCAATTCCCTTTAAAAAGATGAAGACTTTATGAAATATTTTTATTTGACTGATTGTCACTATATAAGAACTTCAGAAAACATTTAGAAATAAACCATGTCATTTCAGAACATCACAAGAAATATTTTACATTAATTACTGCCTCTAATTTGTACTTTCCCTCCATAAAACCACAAGGACTAGCTTATGAACATTCTATAGTAAGCCATTATGGATACTTCATATCCTTTAGGATTAAAGTCAAAATACACAGGAGGAATATAAGAGTAAAACCTCTCTCTCAGGTACTAGTATTCTTCTAGGCATACAATACTTGCAAATTATTTGTACTGTATTAAATATCTGAAACTGGAATTTACTTGCCAGAATATCTGTCAGCAAGCGATAATCCTCTATGTCCCCCTTCTCAGAATTGTTTTTGGTGACCAATCCTATTGCTACGCCTGCCACAGGAGATGAAATTGGAACTCCTATAATGGAGAAAAAGAACTTTAGTGTGTAAAGCTTATTCCATTTTTACTACTCAGCTGACACTTATTTGAAAAGATGATGCCCTCTAAATTGACAGTCACCAAAGTTAAGCTGGAAAGAACTTAAGAATTCATCACACTACTTTATTTCTTTTTGTATATAATAAAACTGCTTAAAACAACTTTAATAGATAATCACAATACTTGATAAGAAATCTGTAATGAAAGCAAACATTATCAATGTTTAAATTATTTGTTGCTTTTTAGTACTTTTTTGTTACAATGTTACTATGTAAATATAATTGTTTACTTATTCATTGTAAGCATACTACATACATTCAATATTCTGCCTCTTACAAATGTAACTTAGTTATTTTTGAATACTGATACATACCATTGCAAAGCTCCACCTTTCCTCTGAACAGTAGTCTTCTTAAGTTTTATAAGTCACATATAGCAATCAGAATGTGCAAAACCATGTAGAAAAAGTATTTGCACTGTCAAACTGCTTTCCAAAAACATATTTTAAACTTTTATCTGGAGTATACAAGTCTACACATTATTCTGTATTAATGTTAATCTTTGGTAAGCTTCTGATCCTTGCCATCTAAAAATAAAACTGCTCACTCTGAACACTTTTTAATTTTAATAACTATTCTTTTTTTCTTTTGGAGCACTTTCTGATCAGGGCCTTCAATCTTTTTTCTATATGAACAGATCTTTATTAAGGTACAAATAATAAAATTAATATTGTGATGCCCTAGCCAGTGCTATTAGGTAAGAGAAAGAATGTCACTATTTGCAGGTAACATGTATATAGAAATCCCTAAGGACTCTACAAGAAACTAAGATCTAGTAAAGCGATTCAGTGATTTTACAGAATGGAAAATCAACATTCAAGTATGAGTAGCATGGATATACACAGAGAGCAATTATCCCCCCCCCCAAAAAAAGATGAATGATCTTTACAGTGAAAACTATAAAACTCTGATGAAATAAACTAGAGGACATTTTAAAAAATGGAGATTTCTGTTCTAAACAATGTGAGTTACAGACTGAATGCAATCCTTAGTCAAATATCAAAATTTTTCACAGAATCAGAAAAAACAATCCTAAAATTTGTGTGGAATCCCTGAATAATCACAGCAATTGAAAAAAATGTAAAAGATACTAAGATATGTGACTTCAAAATATATGAGATACTATAGTAATTTACAACAGTACATTACTGGCATAAACATTGATACACAGATCAATGAAACAGAACAGAGAACCTAGAAGTAAACTCATGACCCATAGTTTTTCACTAAATATTGCTGGGGCAACTGGATACCCACATGCAGAAAAATGGAACTAAGCCTCTGTCTCCCACTATATACAAAACTCAACTCAAAGCAGATTAAAGACCTAAATCTAAGACTGGAGCTGTGAAACTACAAGAAGAAAACTTGAGGAAAAGACTTCAGGCCACTAAAAGGAACAAGGAAACCAAAAAATACAGAAACAAAAGCAAAAATAAAGGAATGGGATAAGAAACAGAAGCTAAACACTTGGACATCAAAAAAATCAGCCAACAACAAAACAACCTTCAAGAAAATATTTATATATGCTATACATCTGCAAAAGGCTTAATAACCAAACAGCAAAACAAACCAAGAAAAACCAAAAACCACCGAACTTAAAAATGGGCAATCAAACCATTTTTTCAAAGAAGACATACAAATGGCCATTAAGTACATGAAAAAGATGCTCACCAATTATTATCAGGAAAATGTGAATCAAAACAACGAGATCACCTCACTCTAGTTAATCTAACTGTATCAGAGGAACAAAGGTAACAAGGGTTGGCCAAGGATGTGGAAGGGAATGAAGCCATGTACATTGTTTGTGGGAATGTGAAATAGAACAGTCAGTGAAAAGCAGAATGGAGATTTCTCAAACAACAACAACAAAAAGAATCTAAAAATACAGTTATCAATATCACTACTAATTATGTGTCTAGGGTAAATGAGTTTAGCTTGTTACTGAGACACTTGCACTCCCATGTGTATTTTAGCAGTATTCACAACAGCCAAGATATGTTAAGATAACCTAAAAATGCATTGGTTTATGAATGGATGAAGTAAACGTCTCTCTCTCTCTCTCACATACACAATGACTACCACTTAATCATAAAAAAAAAATGGAATGAAATCCTGTTACTTAGACATGGATGGGGATTGCAAGTCTGTTTAGTGAAAGAAGCCAGGCACAGAAAGACAAGCATCGCATGATCTCACATATATTTAGAGCCTAAAAAAGTTGATCTCAGAAGTTGAGAGTATGAATATGGCATTGTGGCATAGCAGATAAAGCTGCCACTTGGATTCCCAGTGTATCATATAGTGCTGGTTCACGTCCTAGCTGCTTAACCGCAACCACGTTTGCTGCCAATGGCCTGGGAAAAGCCATGAAAGATGGTGCAAGTGCTTGGGTGCCTCCTATCCACATGGAAACCTGAAAAAAGCTCCTGGCTTCTGGCTTCCTTTTAACCCCACCCTGGCTGTTGTGGTCATCTGGGAAATGAAACAGTGGATGTAAGATCTATTTCATTTTCTCTTTGTAACTCTTTAATGTAAATAAATTTTAAAAGTTATTATTAATTTTTTATTGGAAAGTCAGGTGTACAGAAAGAAGGAAAGATCTTCTGTCTGCTGAAATTCCTGGAGGTGTAAATCTGAAGCCAGGGACCAGGAGCTTCTTCCAGGTCTCCCATGCAGATGCAGGGTCCCAAGTCTTTGGGTCATCCTCAACTGCATTCCCAGGACACAAGCAGGGAGCTGGATGGGAAGTAGGGCAGCTGTGATTAGAACCAGTGCCCATATGGGATCTTCTACTGCTTTCCTAGGCACATTAGCAGAGAGCTGGACTGGAACTGGAGCAGCCAGGACTTAAACTGGTGCTCATACGGGATTAGGTAGCAGCCTAATTCACTCCAACACAGTGTTGGCCCATTTGATGTATTTATTTTATCTCATTTTTTTTCTTCTTTTGAGGGATTCATTTTGTCATTTAACAAATCAGTCACCTATTCCTTTTTTTCAGTATCCTTTTTTGCGGTTATGCCAATGTTTCCTATCAACTCAATGAAAAAAATCATAGAGACCAGCTGGAGGCTGAGTATCCTAAAGTATTCTGGTTAAGAATCCTCTCCAAGTTTATGAGATTAGCCATTCCCCTTGTCTACCCTTCAACCAGTTATGAATGGAATACCTGTCATCTAGCCTGGGTGATTAATTCTAAGTTCACTCACCTATACTTCACCCCTTTCATTTACACATACACACACCCCTAATGTAGTAATTCTTTCAAAAACAGCAGTGAGTTTCCTATGATATGGACTTATTTTTGGCAAGTCCCTTCTGGGTCTTTCTCTGCAGCTTCCTTATTAACCATTAGGCTTATAAACCATTTTTTTTTTTCCATGAACTGGGAACTTAAATTTATTGAAATAAAGTTCATTTCTTCAACTAGAGTGTATAAAGGATTTCTCAAAGACTGACAACATGTCTTAATAATTTATCTTGAAGTTTTCATCTTTATCAAGAACTGGTTTTAGATTAGACAAAAAGATCTGAATGTATCTACAGAGGTTAGAGGTTCTCTGTCTTCTTTTCCCTTGCAGTATACTCCTCAGGATGTGTTATTTGTCCCAGATGGGATTTGGAAGACTGAGAAACACAGCTCCAGGAAAAAGTTGTGTCTTGTTCATTACCATGTCTCAACAGCTTAAACCTTGGAACTTAGGTAACGCACTTTGTTGAATAAATACATAAGGATGAAGAATATAACAGTATCTTACTAGCTCTTATTAATTTAAGGTTGTGTATTGCTTCCATGAGAATGTTAGAAAAGCACGTCTGGCATTTTTTGCTTTGTCCTATTCAAGTTCTGTTTTTTTCTAAATAACATTTATTCACACCATTACTTTTTTTTTCATTTCATCCTTGATTATGTCCACCTTTCCATACTTTTTATCAATACTGCAAATGTGTGAGCTTATCAGAGAACTCCTGTGTGGTTTTTTTAGTGTCTTTAGGTTTGCTCCCCAGTTCTTTACACAGCATTATTGATGGGTGTTTGGCAGACAATGACTTTCAAAGTCCCCTAATGTAACTTTCCCTTATTGTGTTTCAGATTTAAAATTATATTGAATTATTTGTATTCTGCCTTATGAAAATTCTGCATATACTTCTAAGTGGCTGAGAGATTAAATCATTGCTTGCTCGTGTAAGTCCTACTTACTGATTAAAATTTCCTTGGTGATTGGGAAGTGGAGCTCACTAGCTTTTGAAGTAAATCAAGACAAGTAAATAATTTTTAGTGTACTGCTTTCCATTAAAACTAGTAATTCCAATAGATAACCTGAGTATCTGAAGCTTTGCAACTCTTTCTAATTTACCTTTGAACCACTTTGGTAATCTAATCAGGCTTTGGGATACTAAATGTGATTTTAATGAAATCTTACATTTTATACCAAGTATGTATAAAGCATTAGTTATTCTGAGATGTAAAATTTTTTTTACCTGCATCCATTAATGCTAAACTTCCACCACATGCAGATGCCATGGAAGATGACCCTATGGGAAAAAAAGACATCTTTTATAATATACTGGATTTTGAAAAGCATACATATTTTTTTTTAAAAAGACTGATTTTATTTATTCAAAAGGCAGTTAGTTACAGAGAGACAGAGAGGGAGAGAGGTGTGCCGTCTGGCTGGTTCATTCCCCAAATGGCTGCAAAGACATGGATGGGCCAGGCTGCAGCCAGGTGTTAGGAGCTTCTTCATGGTCTCCCATGTAGCTTCAGGGGCCCACGCACTGAAGTCATTTTCCACTACTTTCCCAGGTTTATAGTAGAGAGCTGGTTGGGAAGTAGAGCCTCTGGGACTTGAACTGTTGCCTATAGGGGATGCTGGCACTGTAGGCTGTGGCTTATCCCACTGCATCATACTGCCAGCCCCAAAATATTGATTTCTTAAAATGCAGATGTTACTACTGGTTACTTCCTTATACTTAATTATGAACATTTAATCATCTTTGCTTTCTTCTTTTCAAAAGCATTTAAAGACAATTTTAAACACTACAACCGCATATGGTGTAACCATTAGCCACTTCTGCTAGGTAAACTCATTAAAATAAAATTCATTTTTTTCCCTACTGAAAAAATAGACTGCACAAAAAGAAAGGATTTTCAGGCATCAGTACTGTGGTGTAGCAAGTTAAGCCACTGCCTGTTAAGCAGATATCCCATAGAGGTACCGATTGATGTCCCTGCTGTTACGTGTTCAAACCAGCTCTTTGCTAATGTTTGGGGAACAGCATCAGAAAATGGTCCAAGTGTTTGGGACCCTGCCACCCATGTGGAAAATCTGGAAGAAGTTTCTGGCACCTTGCTTCAGCCCGGTCTAGCACTGTCTATTGGAGCCATCTGAGGAAGAGTGCTTTACATCCGTCCTTTTCTGTAACTCTGGATTTTAAAATTAATAATAAAGTAAACCTTAAAAATTTTTCCATCATGACAGAAAGTTCTATTAGACAACACTGCCACAGAGAATTTGATTCTTAATCTCCCAGAGTATACTCTTTTATTGCAGTTAAATACAGAGGTCTCTAAGCCTTCTCACTGAGCCATTCACAATTAATCTAGCATGTCCAGTGGAAAACAGAAATGTACTCACTTTACATGCTGGACTTGCTTTGGTATTCTTTCCTCAAAATCTGCAACCATCTGATTTATGTCTGCTGTACCTTCTAGAACTCTACCTTTTCTGTCTTTATGACTGCACCTTGCCTCGGCCCACAGACTGAATTTTAAAAATTTAAATCTAGGCTTTTAATCCAGCTTTCCTTTTTAGTGTCTATTAATTTATCAATTGTGATATATGACACACGTCTCCCGTCTTTCAAAGCTGACCTTGTTCTCTGCTTATTTGTAAAAATAAAGTGGAAAAAAAAATCACTAAATTGGAACTATTTTAATGGATATATGAAGAGACAACCATGTTCAATGTAACTTTCAATATAACTTATATACTAAGAAGAGATTCAGGCATATGGTTAACTAAAACTTCTGTTACACATAATTTTAACATCACTCTTGAAAAGTCAAGACTATAGCAGAGGATATGATCAACATCTACTTAGAAAATAAGTATCTCCACATCCTACCATTTGACTCTAGGACTTCAGATGTGACCCTTATCGTGAAAGGAAAATCTTTGGGAATAACAGGATACAAAGCTTTCTCAGCAAGAGCACCTAAATTAGAATAGAAAACAATAAGCAAAAAATGTACTGTTTGTAAGAACACCACATTAAGAATACAGATTTGTACTTACCATGGCCAAGTTCTCTTCTATTTGTTCCAGTGACTTTGCCAATTTCATTAGTTGCATAAGGAGGAAACTGAAAATAAAAACATATACAAGTGACATGGAAAGATATCTAAGACTTATTAAAATAACAGAACAAGTTATGAAATAGAATTCTACTTTAGTTTTCTTTAAAAAAAAACTATGTATACACACACATAAATACATGTCTGGTATAAATTTAAAATATATAGTTAATTGCTAAATGGATGTCACTTGTAGATGAATTATGAGAAGGGAACAGATGTTACAAGTTTTACACCATAAATTTCTATAATATTTTACTTATTAACGACAAAATATTATTGTAATAAAAATATGTACTTTTTTTTTTTCCAAAAGTACACATTGGGTGCTAGCATTGTGGTGCAGGTGGTTAAGCCAGTTTGAAGACGCTGGCATTCAGTATCAGCACTCTGTAACAGAGTGTTGGTTTGAGTCTCAGCTGCTCTGCTTCTGACCTAGCTCTCAGTTGGCGTGCCAGGGAAAGAAACAGAAAATGGTCAAAGTACTTGAGCCCAACCACCCATGTGGAGGTTTAGATGGAGTTTCTGGCCCAGTCCTAACTAGGGTGACCATTCAGGGAATGACTCTGCTGATGGGAGATATCACTCTGCAGTTCTGCTCCGCTTTTCAAATCAAAAGTAAATCTTTTTTTTTTTTTAAGTTCATATTGAAGAAAAACAGATACACTCCTTCAGAGTTTTATTTTAGTCAGTGGTTGATTGGATATGATTTCTTAAAGGAATATGAACTAGTCATTATCTAAAAATTGACAAATTTCCTATAAAAATATGAAAGTTTAGTTTAATTTGAAAAGCAAAGTTATAGAAAGAGAGATCTTTCATCTGCTGGTTCTCTCCGCAAATGAAAGCAACAACAAGGGCTGAGCCAGGCCAGAGTGAGGAGTCAGGAACTTGATGAGGAGCAGAGTGAGAAAGAGCCGTCTTCCAACAGGTGACCGGCTCCATCTATGGCCACAATGGCCAGCTTTGGGCTGGGCTAAAGCCACCCACATGGAAAACCTAACTGCACTACTCTGCTCTTGATCCAGTTCCCTGCTTATGTCCTGGGAAAGCAGCACATGGTCCAGATCCTTGTGAGCCTGTACCCACATGGGACAGCTGGAGGAAGCTCCTAACTCCTGGTTTCAGATTGGCTCAGCCCTGGCTGTTGTGGCCATTTGGGGAGTGAACCAATGCATGGAAAACCCAGCTATTTCTGCTTCTTTCTCTGTAAACTTTGCCTTTTGAAAAATAAACAAATAAATGCCATACATTGTATTTAGTTCCTAAGCACTGGCTATGAATAAAGTCAATCACAAACTCAATTATGTATTGTTTCAAACAAGGAAATTAGCATTAAACATTTCAAATTCTTTACTACTAATCAGCTGCATAGAAATAGGAACATTTTAAATGAGCCAATGGGCTAATGGGAGAAGCTGATTAATCAGTGAAGTATCTGAAAAGCTCCAATGTTGTCTGATATACATGTACTGTCTCTTTCTTTCCTGAAACAATATTGACTAATATATTTAACTTTATGCAAGGCTTGGATCAGCAAGTTAATCAGAAAACTAGTACTGAATCTCCCTAAATCCTTTCTTTATGATACATAATATCCCCCATATTAATCTTAGCAGATAAATACATTATGTGATAAAACGAGCAGAGTGAAAGATTAATTGTAGAATCAGGGTTATAATATATGAATATATTCACTTTAGCTTAACTCTTTTCTGTCCTAAAAATTCTCGTTATAAAATGTTGGGGGAAAAAGCTGAACCTTACCTCATAGTGTAGCATGAAGTTTTTATCTTTTATTCCACTATAAACAAAAGGTACAATATTATATAAATATATTTCAGTGAATATTAGGATTAGAACAAAAAGGTATTGATTGTTATTAAGTTTGTCTGAAAATGAAGACCCATAAAAATTAAGAAGATGAAAGATGGTTTATTTTTTTCTGCCACTTATGAATGAATGCAGATATTTAAGAAAAAGAAGTATTTTCAAAATATAAGCCTTTAAACATAGAAATAATATATCAAGATGGCAGATACATATTTTTTAAACATTTGTTACTACTCAGAGAACTCTACCTGCCATGACCATATTAGTTAAATCTCAGAACATCATAACATAGGGTTTAACTGGGAGTAGTCTGATTATTTGAAAGGCAAATATCTTTCAGGGCTTTAAAAAAGAGGACCTGGCGCAGTAGCCTAGTGGCTAAAGTCCTCGCCTTGCATGAGCCGGGATCCCATATGGGCGCTGGTTCTAATCCCAGCTGCTTTGCTTCCCATCCAGCTCCCTGCCTTTGGCCCGGGAAAGCAGTGGACAGCCCAAATCCTTGGGATCCTGCACCTGCATGGGAGACCTGGAAGAGGGCTCCTGGCTTTAGATCAGCTCAGCTCAGCTCAGGCTGTTGAAACCGTTTGGGGAATGAATCAGTGGAAGAAGGAATTTTCTCTCTGTCTCTCCTTCTTCTCTTTATTTCTGCTTTTCCAAATAAAAATAAATCTTCAAAGTGTGTGGAAGAGTGAGTGAAAGTAAGTTGGGTAGAAACCAGTTCCTGAATGAAGGAAATCAGAAATCTAGATGAAAATACAGGCACATGAGGACCTTAACACAAATGGTTTCTCCTTTGAGTGGAATTACATGAAAAAAACCTGGGATATAACAGGATATGTGTAGCTGTTGACTGCAGCATTAGAGAAGAAACCTATAAATGAACTCGGGAGACTGAAGGAGTCACAGATTTTTGGAATCAGAGAGGAAGACAAGGATGGCTGGCTCTGTAGCTGCATTTCCTAAGAAAA